CAATCACAAAGTAGCGGGTGCACGACACTAAATGGAAATGCAGAAAACTTCTAGGCCAGTATACTATGAACATGCAAAAGACCTAATTATTAACATCAACAGCCATTCGATATTATAAGTCATGACATGAAGTCAAACTAAACTACAAAGAATGTACCTGCATTTGCACTAAAAGTTCAGTCTTAATCCTTCGAGATGCTTCACTTTCATTGCCTTCTCCTCGTTGACCACACAAAGAATCAATTTCATCAATGAAGATAATTGAAGGAGCATTTTCGCGAGCCATTTGGAAAAGATTTGAAACTAACTTTTCACTTTCACCCATCCATTTTGAGACCAGGTATGATGAAGATATACTGCACAAAGTTTTGGCCTTTTTTTAAAATTTAAACTTCAAATCATAATAGTGATTGCAAAAAACCACAGACAAACAAGTAAAATAATATAACTACTGTAAGCAATACCAAACAATGTCCCCAGTAATTAAAAAGTACAACACAGCTAGAGATTAAGTGTGCCCACCTCCAGATGTAATTGTTACATCTGAAATAGAATATTTAAGTCCTTATGAGGAATGAAAGTGATTTTGCAGTACTAGTCCAGACGTATAAAGGAACATAAAGGACGTATATAGACTGCTTTCTTCTGCTCGCCGTTTATAAAGAAACCTAGATATCAGACCCTCCAGAAGGAAAATGGGATGAAGTTAACCCAGTCATTAAGAATCTTTTGATTGGGAAGCACACAGCAGAATAAACAGTTTTATCAACATCTCTTCACCAGATACGGACATGACTAGAACCAAAATAAAGATCACAAAGATACTTTGGTCACCCATCAAGAAGAAATCAATTGAAATGAAGGGAACAGCTAAAATCCTGAAAGATCCACCGACCCAAGTGATGAAATATACTCTGAGCTGAGACGGATCACCAAGTGAGTCTCACAATAGTCAGATACTAAAGAGTGCATAGCGTAGAGTCATAGACTCATTACTCATATCATAGTTTTGTTTGTTAAGAAAAAATAATGTGTTACTTACATGTGCGTATGTGGTTCTACCCAAGGTTTTAAATATCGGCCGACATGTCGAGGGCTTGACCGACACGACATAGACGTTTTCAACTCGTATATCGGTTTTCAGGGCCAAATCAGAAATATCAGGTCATATCGAGTATATCGGCCTATTTTTAGCTTTGAAAAATCAGCCGATATGGTACTTTTTTTTAAGATCTGCTTTTTGTTATCGGGTTTGAGTTTAGTGATAAATACCCAAACCTGTTTGACCCATTCTCATGTTTAAGGGTTTTTTATGAACCCGATAAAAAGAATTTATGAACCCAAATCCATATATTATTTACTTTTTTATATGTTTAATCTATAGAATTTATAAAATATGCTTATATTGAATTTATGAATGCTTAGATTACATTTAGGACATGATATTATACATATGCGCACTACCCGATATGGCAATCCGATATTTAGTCAATGTCCCCCGATATATCCCCGATTTTCGCTATCCGACATGGATTTCAACCATCCGACATGAACCCGACATCCGACATTTAAAACCTTGGTTCTACTTTCTACATGGAGTGCATAGTCCCCAGTGACTGGATGTATTACATGGTATCCTCCTTGTGGAGATTGGAGGCTTAATGCCAGATTGAATTATGAAGCAAACGGCTTTGTTGAAGTGAAAAGAAAATTAATTTAAGAATGTACATCAAGTGAACCAATAAACAACCAATCTCCAGTGACTAACATGCAATATCATGACCACCAAGTGTGGAATGTGGTTCAGAATATAAGTATCATGTACTGCACTGTCCAGGAAGAAAAGGATAAAAGGCCAAATGAATTAAATTCATAAAAGCATAATTTGAAAAAAGAATGGAGATCACGACACTGGGAGCTTTTATAGCAATGGAAGTCATTGCTCCACTTTTGAAGGTTTGGACATCATGTCTCTTAAGTTATACTATATTTGTAAACAATTAAATAACTGAATTACCAAAAATAATAATATTATTTCAAGACGACACAGAAATATATGTGCACTAAATAACCTGAAGAAAGTTGACTCTGCCTCTGTTGCAACAGCCTTCGCTAAATATGACTTTCCAGTTCCAGGTGGACCATATAATAGAAATGCTCTCCATGGTCTTCGCTTGCCTACAGGAAATAGTAAATATTTAGAGCATTACCTGCCATTACAACTATTTGTCTATGTAACAGGAAATTCTAACTATAATTTTTAGCCATATGCCCACAGGACACAAAACAGCAATACAATGTTCATCTGCTTAAGTAATACTATGTAGACATTAGTACACTACTATGGTTTTGGCATAAAGACATTAGTACACTACTATGGTTTTGGCATAAACTTGTTATACCAATGCAAATAGCAACCTTCTATAGAAGATTTGCAATCCAATATGTGCCTTATCGAAAGGTAGCCTTCAATGTTTGTAATGTTACCCACAGATTTTACAGAATTATCTTGTGTATTTACTTTCTCCACATGAAAAGACAAATTTGTCATACATTTAATTATTGCATAGATAATCTGCTTTCCTTTTCCTCCAAAGAAAATTGCAGACCACAAGTATGTTGTGTAAACTAGAGGTTCATTCCAGCTGTCCTCTCTCAACTCCACCTTCCCACTGCTTACAAAGAAAGGAAAGCAGGAAAACAGAATGGGGGAAAAAAGAAGGAAAAAAAAAGACTCAATCCAAGTTCATCCCAGAATCACCTTTCCTTCATTCTTCATGCTCTTATGAAAGAAGATTAGCAAGATGACTGTATGTTTGTACCGAAGCACCAAAAGTGCACAAACTGTTGGACTGGCACATTGCCCATATGTGCAGCAGCTTCCACCAAATAGACACAGTTGTGCCACCTAGAAAGATTACGCTAGCATGCACAAATCCCAATTTGATTATCAAGGTAGCCCTTCAATGTTTGTAATGTTACCCACAATTTTTACAGAATTATCTTGCATTTACTACCTCAACATGAAAAGGCAAATTTGTCATACATTTAATTATTGCATACGCAATATGCTTTCCTTTATCTCCTAAGAAAATTGCAGAACCATAGGTATGCTGTGTAAACCAGAGGTTCACTCCAGCTGTCCTCTCCCAGCTCCACCTTTCCACTGGATATGCAAAGAGGAAAGCAGGAAAACAGAAAGGAAAAAAAGACTTAATCCACATTCATCTCAGAATCACCTTTCCTTCATCCTTCTCTCATGAAAGAACACTAGCAAAACGACTTTATAAGTGCACCCAAGCACCAAAAGTGTGCAAACTAACTGTTGGACTTGCACATTGGCCATATGAGTAGCAGCTTCCACCAACGAACACAGTTGTTCCGCCTAGATAAACTACTCTAGCACCTGCAAATCCCAGCACACCAGCCTAAGTAGGCCAAAGAGCACCAGCATATTTGCAATGTAAATGCATACACATGCAGAAAGAGACATTGGTTGGCACAATAAACTGATGGATCAGCATGTTGCCACTCGTGCAGAGAACTTTTCCACCTCATAGTCATAAATGTAATAATTACCTTTCTAAAGGGATGTACTACTCTAGCACCTGGGCGTCCGTGAAACAGAGCTTAGAGCTCACCAGGATACCCACAAGGGCACAAAAAAAGCTGGAGATTAGTGTGTCAAATCCACATTGAGAGCACCTCCTACCTCATGGTTCAACGATAAAGCAAACATGCCTAAGCATACTCAAAAAACCAGCCTAAGAAACTATAGAGCATCTGCTACAAATTAAATGTGTTTATCATATGTAGATATATCTTTTGTACTATTTCATCACCAATATGTACATATAATTTCTTTAAAATATAATGTGATATAGGTATGTTTGTGGCCCATTGAATTGTATAACCTTGTCACACACATTATTCAAACATATATTACATGCCAAACAATTTCCATACTGATAGTTCTAGAGTAACAACCTATTCCTATGTGTATTAAACTTAGACATCAACAACTTCAAATAAGTTGATTTCAACTTAATTTGATGAACTGACTCTTTTGAAGCTAAACTCAAATATGAATAACGGCATAGTTTTAAAAAACGGTCTAGACTCCCGCCAAGGGTGCACTTAGGCAGCCCGCCTAGGTCTTAAAAGCGCCTAGGGGAGCATGGGACATTATGTAGATTGCGAAGCTTAGGTCATGCTATGATTTTCTTTGTTGCCACCTCCACATTCTCCTAACTCCCTGGCCTTCTCCCCCGACTCCGAACACCTCCTTCAGCTCCTCCAACCTTCAGCAAAACCCCCTCCACCTCCAGTTAAGGGGCGGAAACGAAAATCCGTCTAGGGCCCAGGCGGCCAGGTAGGCACCTCCGAGCTAGGTTGGTTGATCTTAAGAAAAAAGAAATATCATCTGGTTTGTTGATCCTTTAAAATAAATAAATAAAAAGGCAGGATTCCCTCAACGAATGAAAAATGGGAAATTCTACCATGTGATAGTGCATCTATATGTTTTCATCGACATTGTTTTTTTTTTTTTTGAATGGCACCTAGCACTTACTGCCACATTACATAATGGTAATTGGTAATCATACTTTTAATGAATACTTTCAAATTTCCAATCATGCTCACAGTTATAAAATGACCAAAATATGGAAAATTAAGTTCTAAACTAGCATGTGTGTGCTTGTGTGTCATGCAACTCCTTGGCTAGTGTGTTGTTGATGTGGCACATATCTAGCCAAATATAAAGATCTCATAAAAAGCATCTAAATTTCATTAAAAAAATCCCTTTCTGATTGGCTTTATAATGATAACATAACAAATTTCTTCATCCTATGCCTATTCTCCCTCATCTTCCTCTCATTGCTAAAATATGTGACAATCTTCCACAACCTCTCATGTTTTCCTGAACCCCCTAAAAAACTAACTCACTCATACAGAGAGAAGGAACTAGAATGGGAGCATAACATGCAATAATTTTGAATCTGTAATCATGTCTAACTTATAGTGTATGCCTCTCCATTTACTTAATATTTTTAAAGTATACTTTCTTCATGGGGAAATTAGAATATGGAAGGATTTGATATTTTATGGTTGTTTGTTATTCCCATTCAGCCATCCCAACCCTGTTAATACATATCCAGGCTCTGTGTTTGATCAAAGGATGTTGCAATAACAAATATAGTTGTATCCACATTTCGTTGCAACTCAATTGGTTGCATCCGCATCTAGTTGCAATTTCATGTTGTTGCAACACTCTAAAATTTGAGCGTGGATGCAACACCCTCATTTTTAGTATATTTTGGCTTTGCGAAAATATTTTCGTGTTGCAACTATCTACAAACAAACACTAATTCACGTAGTTGGAACAAGATAGTGCTCCAGCTACATCAATCCAAACAACCTATGATGCTGCAACTACATTTGTAGTTCCAGCACCCTCTAACCAAATACATCCAGAGTCGGAGGTGACAAGGGGAAGGGGTTAAAAGCAGCCTAGGAAGTCTTGACTTTCAAAGTAGTCAAACTTGGAGGCTGCTCAAGTGGATTTCGCACTAGACAGACGAGGCACCTAGATAGACCAAGATAAAACCTTGTTTAAATGGGAAATGAGATAAACAGTAAAGTTTTTCAGTTTTAGGGTTGAATGGCAAAGCTAGATTAGTTGGAATACTATAAGATATGAATTTTATGCGGTTTGGTGTTAAGTCATACAGGATGTCAAAATAAACTGTAGTGAGCTCATTCTTTATATTACCTTTCAAAAAGTAAAATATATAAACTCAAAAACATTACTTCAAAAGAAAATTTTCCTTTTCTGGTTATCAACCATTTAACTAAAAATTATAACTGGAAAGTTCTAAAAGTGTGTCACAGACTGCAGTTGAATCAGACAAGTGTTATTTAAACTAGTGGTGACCAGGCAAGTAAACTATGATAAAAAGGCTCTAGGGTTTTGGAACTACAATACAAGCAATGCAGCACTTGCAATGCAGGAAAGTAGAACTAAAAGATTTGATAAATCTGAGAGGGCTGTTGAGATACGACTTAGAATTTAAGCCCGTGAAAGAGGCCCCTATTATCCCATGTCCACATGAAAGGGTATTCCAGTTGCCAATAAAAGATGAGATAATGTTAGCACTCAGCAATCAGACAGTAATCATATAGGCAGTCAAGTCTGTCCTACTTCTAAACATCCCCTCTCTCTCAAAACAGAGATTTTGGTCTTAAAAAAATGATTAACAAGGACATAGTAAAGAGGGATAGGAAGCATGGAATGTAACACATAGTATGCAAAGTCTAAAGACCATGGAATAATATGGTTAGTTCTCATGTAATCCTGAATCCCCACTGGTTACTGAAGGAGAAGAAGGCTCCTAAGTAATAAACATGACAGAATCCTCCTCCATTAGGAACTGTCTAAACGAGTAGGAAAAATTCCATTCATAATGATCATAGAATTTGATGACCTCCACACATGCAGCTCAGGTGGGTCCACTGTAAAGGACCAAGAGGAGTTAAAAGGAGAATAATCAGACAGGATGATTAGTAAGCGTGTTAACAGGATTAGAAATATTTCACATCTTTCATTAACTAAGTTTTTTTCCCCATCCTAGCAATTAGGAGCCTAACTATACGAAGACAAAGCTGTAGCAAAGCATGTCCTTTTTAGCCAAAGAAACATTGTGTAGCTTTTCTAATCCTCAATTAACAAACTCGATGATACAGAAGTACATCTGATGAAATTTGTCTTCGAATTCATTTCTCTTAGCAAAGAACTCCCACTGTGAATAAAAACACATGTGATGCAGATGCTCGTGATTAAAAAAATTAGCAATTTTCATCATAAATCTACAATTTACAACAAGAATTCAATGAAGCACATAAACTATACTAGTGAGAATTTATAAAGGAACGGGACGAACCAGTGAAGAACTGTGGAAATTTAACGGGCAAGATAACAGCCTCCTGCAGCGCTTGCTTGGCGCTCTCAAGCCCAGCCACATCATTCCACTTCACATCAGGCTTCTCCCTAATAATCGCCGAATTGAGCCCAGACCGAAGCTTAGCCTGCTCCGAATCCTCCCCGTCGCCGCCCTGTCCATCCTTGGGCTTCGTCTTGGGCCTCGTCGCCACCGCAGCATCTCCGTTGGACGCAGGCCCAGGCCCACCCTCATCGAGGACAGCCCGGATCTCCTCGGCTCGACGGAGATACTCAGTGAACTTTTGAGTGATTGCCTCCTTGATCTTGGGGTTCTTCTCGTACTTGAGATGGGTCTTGAAGTACTCGAGGGCGTTCATGTACAAAGGGAACGCCTTGACGTAGTTTCCGGCATTGTCCTCTTGGACTGCCTGCTTCACGTACTCGATCGCCTGCTCCTTGAAATTGCTGTACATCTCATAAAACCCTAATCCCGATCCTTGATCGAAAACCTAACCCTAGTTTTTGAATCGGTGATCCGATCGATGGATTGTTAGGGCAAAGATGAGTAATGAAGCGATTCCTTTCTTGTTTTAGATTAACTGGTGAGGGGAAATAGGGATCGGTTTAGATCGAGGCGAAATAATTAGGGGAGAAGAAAAGCTTAGGGTTTGATTTGACGAGAGAGAGAGAGGGGAGAAGGGGGGAAAAGGGTGATGGAGAGGAAAGAGGAAAGCGGGTGTAGTAGTCGTCGGAGTCGTAGGCGTGCGGGAACGGATGCTGATTACTGGATCCACCTGGGCTTATCGGATTTGGGTTTCGGGTCGGTCAATTTTAGTACCGTTTCGTTTTTCGGCAGGGAAAAGAAATCATTTTGCTACGAAAAAATTGTTCTTACGTTGTTTCTTTTGAAAAAAATTGTTCTTACGTTGTTTCTTTTGAAAAACGTTTATGGGCTTTTTACATTAACGTTGTGGAGAAATTCTACGATTTTATTGTGTACACCAATAACATCTCTTCATTTCATGGATCCTATGAATTAGAGATGTTAAATGGGTGGGTATGGGTATTAAATGGGCGGGCCATAAATGGGCGGGCATGTTTTGCCCATTTAACATTATTTAAATGGGCGGGTTTTTACCCGCCCATTTAATAAACGGGTCGCCCATTTGCCCATTTAATTATAGTAACTATATATGTATAATACTTTTGGGGTGTTTTTTTATAAACTTTTAGGGGTTTTTTTGTAAACTATTGTGGGCTTTTTGCAAACTTTTTGGGAGCTTTTTGCAAACTTGTTAGGGTTTTTGATAATTTACTAACAAAGATAGGAACATAAACAAAGATAAACAAAGACAGACAAGTTCATGATTGAACCATTTACAAGTCTAGATAAAAGTACAGACCTCACACATTTGCAAAATTAACCTCAAATTTCCAAACCAAAAACCAAAAGATCAATAACAACAAAATTGAGAGAATATTTAAATGAATTAAGATAGAAAACACAAGGTATGCAAGGATCCGTATAAGATCGATAACTTGATATAAATGTCATCATAACTATCAGCAACACGATCACGATTATTAAAGACAATATACTTAATTACTTGATAAACTAGAAGAGTAGTAAGTTCGTCTATAAACAAAATAGTAGCACAACCATAGTCCTCTTATTTCCCATCTTTCAAATGTTCAGGCATGAACAGGATCATGACAGAAGAAAGAAAACCAAAATCAACCAAAATCACAGCTTCAGCAGCAGCAGCAACAACAGCTTCGGCAGCAGCAGCATTCAGGCATGAACAAGATCATGACAGAAGAAAGAAAAGACCATGAAACAAACATAACACTCAGTTGTACTCAATAGCAACATTAAAAGTACTGCAACAAGCCTCATATGTGCGTCTTCATAGCAAGAGTTAGAATCCGAAATCACCATAGAGACCTCAATATTTCTCCTGCATCAATCATCCTAGAATTAGTTAAGTTTGTCACAAACGTATGATATTGTCATAATAATGAAACACTAGATAGCAAGATGCGATCTTTGGGAACCAGGGGACTAAAGATCAGCTAAATACACAAAGAACTTATCAGATACGTAATCATACAACAAAATTATGGTTTTACGAGAACAGGAAACATGATAGTAAATACAGGAACCAGAGCCAAGAGACCTGCATGCATTGTTAATATGCTTGAACTTTGAGCAAAAGGCATGTGACACTCAGTTCAAGTAGTTTGAAAATCTAACAGCAAAAGGATTATATGACTTAATACAGCATAAAATAAGGCTGAACCTCGGTTGCCAAGTTCACCATCCAGTGATTCCTCATAAAAGAAGCTGAAAAGCCTTGCAGATAGTAATGATTTAGACAATATCTCATAGGAAAACCACTCTTTTAAATTCTTCATCTTCAGTTAATCTGAAAAACAAAGCAAAAGTATAGAATTCAATACCCAGCAAATAAACGATAAGCAAAAGATTACTACATACAAGGAAAAACTTTTGTCTAAGCATATAATTTTGCCTTTCCATACTCTGCTCAAGCAGTAAATGTCAGAATGCACAACAATATACTAGGAATGCTGGTATTTTGTCTAAGCATATCAGCAATATACTAGGAATGCTGGTTCAAAGGGAGCAATTTATGTGTAGCAAATCAAGTTCTATCATCCATTTATTACCAATATATCAAACTGTCCAAACAGGAGCACCAACCCTTGCATTACCCCAGGAGGGACCACTAGATTGTCCACTACAGAAGAGAATAGAGAAGGAGAAAAAGCCACTCTTGCTCCTGAAGGTAGACCACAAATTTGTGAAAAAAAAACAGAAATGCTCAGGCTAATCATAAAAAAGAATACGCTCACTAAGAGGAATTCAACCTAAACTTGTTATAGACTACTACTAGCTTTATCCTCGCCTTAACTAGTATATTCATATCAGCAATATACTAGTAATCCTAGTTAATTTTCCAACAGATCTTTCACTGCTTTTCTCCTATCAGTGCTGACTCGGGGGGCCTTGGAGTCACATAAAAGCATGATGGCTCCAATATATGGGCACGATTAAGTTCTTCTGCATATTGCAATTAAAATTTTGTTTCAAATATTCTGAGATAGTTATATTTTTTTCTTTAAAATTCATAGCTCTCCTACCCCATTTATTGACCTTATAGGGTCTGCACATCTTGCATTCACAGGACCTGCATATTGCCCTCCGCATCGTCTCTCTGCTGACTGAAAAAAAAGAGGTTGTAGCTATCAAGCCATCTATGCATTTATACATAAAAAGTATAACGGAGGTAAAAGAAGCAGAATCTGAAAGTAGTAAATTCAGAAATAGTGAAAAGCAAAAAAGTACTGCCCAGGAAAGCAGCTTATGAGTATTAGAAGTGTTAGAATGACAATTACACCAGCGCATAAGTATTCAAGATGTAGAGGCATGTCAGAATATAAACTCATAACCTTCAGCCCTCACCAAAACTTAAGATTTTTGTTGTAGTGGCACTGTGGTAGGGACATTTCACAGATGCAACCTAGAGAAAAATGAGATGATTGGCAGAAGAGGATAAGGTGAAATTAGTGTCTCCACCTAATCTAACAAGCAGTTCTGTTCAAAATGTTGTTATCAATAATTGCCAAGGAACAAAAGTGAAAATTAAAGACCGCAAGGGATCACAGATGATAATCTGAGATGTAATCTAATAGAAAATCTACCAGGAACATCTAACAAAAACCATCACAAGAATAGGAAAGGGATGACCAAAGCAAACCATTAACATAAAATATTTGCCTAAGCTGCATATCAATACAAAATTCTCTTCAATCGGATTCAGATCTATGCTCTAATGAATTTGTATTTTTTACCAGCCATATGGCTGCTGCAGCAGAAAACAAAGCAACTCATAATAGTTAGTTATTAGACCAGATTTTGTCTTTGTGTATCAAGGCATTGTGTGGAAAGTTTAAACGCATCAAAGAAACTGCTTTTATAAACTTGAGCTAAGAAACATTATCCATAGTAGATACCCGTCCATTGTTGTATGAATCATTAATATCTGAGTTATCCATGCATGTATTAGAGCGATCCATTTTCTGCCACCATATATCTATACAAAGATCTGAATTTTATCGTTTTCTTTTTACACTATAATGCATGAACTTAGGGGCACACTCAAGATGAAGTCCAATGGTAAATATTTGTTGATGATATATCAGACTAGATGACTAGAGGAACAGAAAGGAAAACTTAACCATTCTAGAAAGAAAATATCTGTTGATATATAAGAGTGGTCCGACCCATTCCCAGACCCCACATACAGTGGGAGCTTCGTGCACAGAGCTGCTCCTAAAGGTTAAGAAGAACTTAGGAATCAGAGGATTTAGAGTTTGTACAACAAAAACTGAATATAATCTCACTAAATGGTGAGAAGAAAGGATGCCTGTATGAATTGGTGTTTAAAAAATACAGGGATTTTTTAAGGATCGAGCAACTGATGAAGGAAGTGAGGAAGAGAGATGCAATTCATAAAATCAAAGTGAATGGTTCAAAAATCATAGGATACTCATGGAACTGAAGCAAAAATTCTATTAGGTGGCATTAAGACTAGAAATATTTTAAGGATCAAAATGCTGACCAATAATGAAATATAATTTTCAGAAATATGTTTAAAATAAGTGAAAGAGCTACAATGATGAGGGGAAGTATATAAAGAGATGGCAGAAATAATTAGTGCACGTTTCAGAAGTTAGATTTAGCACCTGTTGAGCATAATATTAAGGACAACTGAATCATATAGTTGGAAATAATTAGGAAAAACTATAAGATCATATTGATGGAAGAAAGAAGACTAGAGATATACTTAAAAAGAACTTGAATAAAACAAATTAAGAACGAACATTTTTTCCAATGGTCACAAGAAGTCAATAATACATTGACTGGATAGTCAAACTATGCCTGTTGATCTCCATTACTTAAGCTGTACATAAACAGAATATGTATAAGGTGTGTCATATTTAAGACTACACTACAAAATTGACGCCCTAACATTGGAATCCAAAGGAAAGGATTTGGAAATGCTCAAAATCCTTCCTGAAGGACCAAACTCTATTATGTATGCATGTATACATAATTTGTCTGTGTGTTGTACCCATGTTTAGCATGCATTAGTGTATGTGCTACATAAAATTGTAACACCTCAAAATGTCAATAATACATTCACTGGATAGTCAAACTATGCTTGTTGATCTCCTTACTTAAGATGTACATAAACAGAGGTTGTATAAGGTATGTCATATTTAAGACTAGATTACAAAATGGACGGCCTAACATTGGAATCCAAAGGAAAGGATTTGGAGCTGCTCAAAATCCTTCGTGAAGGACCAAACTCTATTATGTATGCATGTATGTATGTATACATAATATGTCCATGTGTTGTACCCATGTGTGTGTATGTATTAGCGTATGTGCTATATAAAAATTGTAACACTTCGTCGATCATCCTATCAATGTTTATAAAATGTACAATGTGTCTTTATGTGTGTAAAACATGTACACATGCATGTCTTCACACAACTAGTACCTACGACAATTTGTGATTTATATATGCAAGAAATCAATGCAACATGCTGAAAACATTTGACTTCTCTTAATAAATGCACAGAGAGCATAAAGAATTCAGGAAGACTTTACTCACATCACCTTGTGAAGCTCATCAGATATAAGTCCCATCCCATGAAAATATGG